TTTTCTATGGTTATTCTACTGTTTTGGTTTAATTTAGTACAATAATAATTAAATAAAATGCCATTTAACTATTTTTACCGAGAAATTTCTAACAATGTATTTGTTAATATCTATCTTGTTTGTTCATCTATTTCTTTTCGTTTTTTCTTTCTCCTTTTGAGAAGTACTGAGTTGTCAAGTTTGTGCGAATTGATTTTCCAAAACAAAGACAGTAATATATACAGTATTTTAACCAACTCTCATGAAAAAAAAAATTCTTAACGTAATCAATAATTATTAATACAATTTAAAATTATTGTTTCCTAACTTCATATATTCCATTTAGTTATAATTTATTTTCATTTATTTCCAATATCAACTAAATGGAATGTAAGAAATTATCACTATACAAAAATAATATTTCACATATAATGTGAATACATGAAAAATATGGAATTATCATTATTCAAATACAAATATAATATGAATATATGAATTGTCATTATACAGAATAATTGTCATTATACAGAAATAATATTTCATTTACAATATATTAAATTGTCCGGCAAATAAGTTGGCAGATTTTAAAAAATTTAATTTCGAAAACAATCATAATCACCTTTCATGTCCAGAAATAAAAAAGTTGTGTAATTTATGAATTGAATTAAAATAAAAAAAATTAGCTGAAAAAAATTAAGTATAAATGAAAAATATTAGAATAAAAACGTGTTACAATAAAATACGCTACTATACAAAATAATTGAAGACTCATTGAATATTTGCAGAATAATTTTCAATTACAGTAATCAATTTCAAATTTGTATTCTTTGCATTGTTAGTTAAAGCAGCCAAACATACACAATAATTTTTATTAAAAAAAATTCTGAATCATCATTCAAATTTTGTTATAAAAACGCCTTCTTACACACTCGAAATCATCATTTTTTTCATTTTTATCTTATTCAGATAAATTAACATTCCATTATTGAGGTAATTCAAATCTATTTGAAGTCGTTTTGCATTTATAAAATGACGCATTTTCCCCCAAATCGACAGAATTCGAAACAATCGAAGAAAACAGGATCGATTTTCAAATAAAATCAGCAAACAAAATGACTGCGTGTTCTTAATCAAATGTACATTCTTTGTCCAAAAAAGAGCTAAAAGTCAAACCTCGAAACTATAAAAAGTGCAAATTTTTTTTTCAAAGAATATTCTGTTTAAATTCATTTTATGAAACAGATATATAAGGCACTCCTCAATATGTCACCCTTTGTTCAAATTCTCAAAGGCCGTAAAAAGGATTACAAAATCGCAAAACTACATCCACTTTGAACTATTTTTGTCTGTTTAGCAAATAAGAATTGATCAAAGAAGCCATTCAACTGGATTTATTTTTCTTTTGTTGAACAAAATATACAGCTGTATAAAAGGCAAGTAATTTGCATATTCTTCCTAACACCCCTACAAAAATTCTTGTAGAGATTTAGAGTACATAGCGATCTTCCTATCAAAAGCCTACCAATAGAAAGTTCAGTAAAACCTCTAGTATGACATTTAGCTTTATCTTATAAAAAACATTACTTCGGCTGCTCTAATTCATTAAGTTTATCGTTCAAAATAAACTAGCAATCTATTTTAAAGTTCACAGAAATCAAAGAAAACATTCCATTGAATTTTTTTTTTAAAAAAAGTGTAAGTAGTTATTTGACTATAAATTGATACTATTTAAATTGCCTCATATATTATCCCTTACTGCCTTATTTTTTTTACATACATTTATTTATAAAATATATCAAAGCATTTCCCTCATAAGCAAATATAACTGAGTTAAAATTGCAAAACAATTTCAACAACAAAATGCTGAAACTGTAATCGAAAATATTTGTGTAAAGATTAAATTCTGTTCATTTTTAAAATATTTAAAAAAATTCCAATTCTATAAATCCAGTATTTATAGGAACGTTATCTAAAAATAAATAAATGAAATAAGGCTTGCAAATCGCGCACAGCTTACTGCTTTTGATTTTAGAGTACGTCCTTAGTCAAAACATACTTTAAAATACCTTATTTTAATCAGTAACAAAAGTTTAAAATAATAAACCGAGAGCGATTCTGTACATCAATAATCTATGAAATCGTTTATTCGAAATAATAATAATAATAATTAAAAAATGAATAAAATGCAGCTGCAAATTATGTACTACAAATTATGATGTACAACGAATTTTTCGAGTAGGCTTTTAGTAAAAACATGCCTATAATTAATTCATTTTACCAAAAAAATTAGAAAGTAAAGCTGAGAACGACTTAGTTAAGCGATTAGAATATATCCCTCAAAAAATCTTTTGCTTTTTGCCTCACATTTTACTGTATTATTTTTTTAGGAAATAACTGAAACTAAACTAAATTAAAAGATATTAAATCTCTTTTTAATTTTGTTACTTCATTTCAAAATTAATAAAACTATGAATTTACTAAATTTGAAAGACCGATTTCACGACATTTCTTATACAAAATTAGAATGCTGATGTATGTCACAAAAACTTTTTATATTAAAAAAAAAATACTAAGTTTACATAAAAATATTTGACTTTCAGATTATAACAGTTATTAACCAACTAACTTGCCTGCAAAATGAAGCTTGGATTATTTTCTATTGCTTGCTACAGTTTAAGTAAAATTTTTTAAAAAAATAAACAGTTATTTTAACAGTTGATAGTAGAGTTTGTTAATCGCAAATGGGAAATTTGTTGTCTAACGAATCCTAAACTAAATAAACTTCGAATCTAATGTCTTGAATCAAATTATCCTCCTTTTTCAGAGAAAAGGAATAATCCCGCAAATTTTAATTCCAATGTTGCATGGTCTTTTGCTTTTTTCGGATATATTAAAATTGCATTACCTTTGAATTATAAAATAAAAAGTTCTTAATGTATTTCATAAAAAAAGACTAAATGTTCCCAATTTATTTTAAGTGTATTCTTAATTTTACTTCATTTTTAACAAATTATTTAAAAACAAAATTCTTTTTTTTTTCTTCAAATTTTATGTATGATTTATTTTCTGATACACGAAGTATATTGTTGACCCTTTCGCAGTGATGTTAAAGTATAGGAAAACCCCACTCTAATGTTGATAAATGATTCAAAAATATGTTAAATTGGCTTTCAAAATTATTTAAATTACTAAATATGACAATTTATAGCCCAAAATAAACTACGTATATCACCTCTTATTAAAATGCAAAACGAAATTTCAAATTAAAAATTGAAAAAAGATTATACAATTACTTAATTTGAGGGGGGGAAAAAATTTCTTCGATAATTTGAGTTTTATGAAATATTCTTTTATACAAAATGCTTCATCATACAGTTTGGGTTGGCGAAATTATTTCGTTGTAGAGATTTATGAAGAGTACAAAATTTTAAAACTTATTTTGACAAATGTATTATTTTTTATTAGGAAATGTAAAACTCTTAATTTAAATAATAATTTGGTTTCTATTAAATTTAGAAGAGAATTACTTAATTCTCTTGAGAATTCTTCTTCTTCGGCATTACAGCTTATAGCAGGCCAGGGCCGTTCTAATTACCTTCCGCCATCGCTGTCTATCTGGAACTAATGTTCTAAGATTTCTGTTCTAACGCCTAACACGCCAAGGACTTTTTCCACTCAGTCCAACTATGGTCCAACAGCTGGGTGACCCCTTTTCCTGGTTCAGGAGGGTTTACCAAAAATCTATTTTCTTGCAGAATTGGGGTCTTTTAATATTTGAAAATGTGAAAGCATTTTATACGATAGGTTTTAATGGACGATGTTGAGCTCTTTAAATTTGTTGTAGGGCTTAGTGTTGTAAATTATTTACCATGTGTTACGAGGATTGTTTTTTAAGTAAGGGTCGTTTGAAAATAAAAACCAAACGAAATAAAATTTTCAAGAAGCCAATTTATTTTCAGATTCTACGTACGCTTCTCTTTCTTTCAGTACAGTTTCCAAGTTTGTTTAAACACTTATCATACGTTGCAACTAGATTTAAAATATCCTCTCCATACAAACTTGACGCCAGCTCCGTAAGCCAAGAGGTCACGGCCGTTTTCCCGTCTTCGTCATCATTGTAGTGATTGTCTCCAAAATGATGTTTAAAATATCGGAAAATATGTAAATTACTAAGTGCAAGGTCTGGACTGCAGGGAAGGTTGGTCCAAAACTTCCCAACCAAAAGAATCTAATAAAGCTGGAATCTGAACTGTGGAAAGAGTCATTGTCATAGAGTAGCAAAATTCCCTGTCAGCATGACGGGGTAATGCTACTTCACAAATCGCAACTCCCTGGCAGTAAATGTAGTATGCAGCAGACAGGTTTTTTGCCGACTAAAAACTCATCACTGGTCGTATCTCGTGCGCGGCGGGAGATTAGTTAAATTTGCAACTGACTACAGTTGTTCCCAAGGAATGCCGGGAAACGAAACAAGCACTCGCTTCGATACACGCGTTATCTATTATAGTGTAAACAACAAAACAGACCTGACTTAAAAAACAACAGTCGTATCTTTATTCACAGGGCCATAAATTTTCCTCAATTTTTTTTCGAAGATCAACAGTTTATCATCAGCTGCCTTAATAAATGTCCAACACTTACAGCAGGGCTCGAAAAAACTCAGAAATTTTACCCGTCCCCGAGGACGGCTTGTCCAACAATGTACCNAAAATAAGTGGTCAAATTAGGATTTGTTTCAAACATCATTCTTTGCTGCTCGTTTTAGGAGTTTCAATGTTAGTACGCATTTCTTTTTAAACCCCTGAAAACTTCTGATTGCTATCATAATACGATTATCAATTTTAATAATAATAGTGACTCGAGAGAAAATGAACATAGAAATGTTGAAATGTTTTGTTAGAAAATGTGCAAGAAAATCCTTTAGAAATAGCAGAAAAAATAAGACACAAAAAATTCACAATATATTTGATATCGAAATTTTTTATGTTGCTTCTAATTTTCATTTAATATTTTTTTTTCAGATAACATGGGCCAATCTTTAGTGTCATTGAGTAATAGTCTTCTAATATGTATATTGTGGTTATCTGTGGTTGCTGAAATAGACGTCGATCCTACATGGGAAAATGTTTTTAAATCCAGGTGAACGCAATTAATATTTTGTATTTTAATCCAGTTTCTTTTTTTTTTTTTTCATTTTTGCTAACTAATTTTTAAACGCAGAAAAATATCACAGACAAATTAGTTTAATATATGAAAATAATCCTTTTGCATTACTTTTTTTAACTTATATTTCAAAATAAAGATACATAAGTAAATTAGCCTATTTGGTATTAAACCATAGAGCTGAAAAAGAGACTTGTAGATAAAAAAAAAATACGCAAAACATCGAATCCGATGATTTTATCGTCATAAATTATTGCATTATCAATGATTTTCTTACCAAATGGTTTCATCTCCAATGATTTTAATATCAACTTATTGAATTATCAATGAGTTTGTTATTAATTGTTAGTATTACGAATGATTATATTATTAATTGATTGTATTGATTTTATTACCAGTCAACTGGAATTTATGAATTGAAACTCCAGTTTTTATGGATATTTGTTTCTTAGAATGTAATAAATGTTTCTTGTTTCTTAACTTAATAAAGAAAATGAGATTATTGATTTAAAAATGCAAAAACAGTATTCTATTCATTTATATTTCGTACAATCCGACTTTAGTGACCATCATGTTTGGTTTTCAAATTCCCCTACTGATCAAGAACTTCCTAACTTCTCCCAATGCTTCGCAATCGTAGGCGAATAATTTTACCTCAGTTACTGAAGAAGGTATGCATTTAGTAGAAACCGGTTATCGTAAAGATATGTATGAAACATCTCCTTTATAACTTTTTTAACATCTTTTTAACCTTTTTAAACATCTCCTAGAAACTTTTGTAATTTAATTACACTGTTAGGAATTTTTTGGAAAAAATGGTTAAATAAATATTTATTTAATTGTTATGTAACCATATTCAACCAAAACACCGACAGAACTGTGTAACGGTCAGGGAGCTGACCTCACATCAGAACTATCCTGGGTTCGAATTCTGGACAAGGTATGAATGTTCGTTCATTCTCTGTACTATCTATGGCCCACTTACTATGGTGCCCTTGAAAGAATGTTCAACAAATCTGCCCTACTGATACCTGAATGACGAGTGTCAACCGGATGAGCATTGGAAAAAAATATTCAACAAAAACAGTCAAATAACCGTAAAAAAAAGAGCACTCAAACTGTCCACTGTGAGAAAAACCGTTTATTGACAGTTTTCATCTAATATAGTTAAACAATAAAATTTTATCTGCGCTGATTAGTTCCACAACCAAACAGAATCGAGCACAGAATCTTCGAAAGCTGCAAGCTAAGCCATGTAATAAGTATTACAAATTAATATTTTTATTTTCCCTCCCTAGATGCCTAACACAACGTCGGATATCGTATAATTTTATAGTTATAAGTATGTGGCGAAATCTTAGAAAGTGGTTTAGTTCCCTACAGCTAATCTGTCAATCTCATGACCGGCTGAACTGGGGTTCTAATTCCAGTGCTGACACCGCCCTATTTCCTCTATTCTTTAAACATGTGAAGAGTTTTCAGTGTCCTGCATTCCTCAATTACGACGACACTGAACTATTAGAAAACGGAATTCCCATTCACGTATAGATGGCAGCACGATAGAACTGCTTAACACAAAAAAGTCTGGTATTTTTCATCTCTGACGATAGATGGCACCAGCAGATAAACTAATTAGTCCACACTCAACAGTTCATTTAAGATAAAAATCAACCACAACATAACTTCAATGTCCATTGATACTGCCTAATATTTAACTCCAATATTCAGTTTAATTTCATTTTTACGCTTTTTTAACCATACCAATTGTAAACGGTCTCAAACAAGTAAAGGTAAAGAACTGTTCCAAATTGTAAACTTTACGGTTGCGGGTAATAAAGACAGACTGCTACCAGTTTATTTGCTGTAACATTAGAATGAAAATTTTAACATCGTGGAACGTTTCGTTAATTTAACTGGATCGATCTGTAGGCTAATCATAATGAATGTGTAATAACTATATCAAAGGTATTATTTTAATTAAATAAAAACTGTTAGCTAGGAAAAATTACTGAAATTGAGTATTACTATAAACAACAGAATCAAATTCATCTAAACTTCAACTATGGATTCCATTTTTCTCCATTTTTTAAGAAAATTAACTAAATTTTTTAAAAAAATTAAAAACGAAAATATCTGCATCGAAATTTCAGCAGTGTTCTCGATATTTATTGACCTAATTTTTCTATTTTTAAACAATAAAAATAAAAAACAGTGTTATTAAAACTCTAAAAAAATTTTCAAGATTCATTATTCTAATATTTTGATTTTAAACAAAAATTTAAAAAGGTAATCTACATATTGAAAACCTTGTTTATTAGTCTATTCCCTATCCTGATATTTTCCTTTTTAAACAATTAGAAGCAAAATCATCTGCAGTTAGACAACTATGTTCATTTGAAATGTAATACGTCTCTGAAATAGGCATGGAACACTTAAAGAATTTATTATGTATGAAATTTCTGCATTCCGTGCACTTCGCCTCTGCTTCATTAAATTCCGAACATACTATAAACAACAGATCCAAATTCATTTAAATTTCAACAATGGATTTAGTATTCACTGTCCTGTTATTTTCCTTTTTCAAACAATTAGAAACAAAAGCATCCGCAGTTAAACAACTATGTTCTTTTGAAATGAAATGTATGCCTATGAAATACGTAAGAGACATGTAAAGAATTTCTCATGCATGAAATTTCCGCATTCCGTGCACTTAACCTCTTCTTCTTTAAATTCCAAACTTACTATAAACAACAGAACCAATTCATCGTCCTGTTATTTTCCTTTTTCAAGCAATTAGAAACAAAAGTATCCGTAATTAAACAAATGTTCTTTTGAAATGTTATATATATAGGAAATATGTATGAAACATGTTATGATGTATATGAAGTATGTATAAAAAGAAATTCATGTATGAAATTTCTGCATTCCGCACACTTAACGTTGGTTCTTTAAATTCCTAACCTCTTCTGTTAGCTTTCCGCTGGCCGTGTTTTTCTATTGTTGATTCAGTTCTTGCCAAATTTATTCAACCCAAACTCCTCTCTTCCTCTAATCTTTACTGTAAACTTGTTAGTGTGTCGCTTTTCTCGCGTTTTCCACAAAATTGTTGAAAGCCTATCCCATTCTGGTTTTAAAATCAGTTTCAAACCCGTCTAAAAAAATTCAATTCAAGTTCTTTAAAAATCCTATCAGAATTGAAAATTGCTGGCCATTTACCGCATATCTGGCCTGTGCGACTTTGGCATCGAACAAACAGAGGAGCTTTAGAATTTAGACTAACGAAACACGATAGATATATCAATATATCGCAATATTTTGATTAATCATCAACTGTTGCATATTGCTGGAATCTTAGGCATAAACTTAGTATCGATAATGCCGAATATCTTTCCACCCTTGTCACATCAGGATGTCGTAGAATCTTGTTTCATCATATGAATGTCGAGTCCCTTGTTAACGATATTACTATCTTTCCATTGCTCATTTTTTTCTGATTTGCCCCACTCAGATTTTCATTGTTTTATTTTTTTACTTTTATTTCTTCTTCACTCTTCGCAGGCTGCTTTACTTTGTATGTCTCAATCACGGCTCCCTCGGTTTCTCTAGTTTTTTCCATTTTTATTTATTTTTTATTCCTTTTTCCCTTAGTAACTTTACTTTTTCTGTTTCAAATCTCTTTTGCTTTCCTCATTCACTCCCGACAAGTCTTGAGAATGGGTGCCTATTTTTAAGCTCTCGAAACATGTCGATCATTACAACCTATTTGTTTTTGAAGTAAATGAAGTTTGTACATTATCAAGAATAACTATATTTTCAATGTGCATTACTCTGACATTTTCCCTTTTTTTAAAACAGAAATGATGAAGATTGGAAATCAGTGTGGCACACTGAGAGGCACAGAAGGTGCTATCATGATCTACTGGTGCACATGGACTGGGTTTGTCAGAAAGACATATACGCTGTCAAAAGAGATAAAAGAGACACTGGTAACTTTTATTTATATCCCATTTGATTGTTATCATAGCGGAACTCCCAAAACCTAGCTCATTTTAATTTCCAGACAGATAGTGAAATTCTTTATAAAGGTTTTGGCATTTATGAAAAATCATCCAGAATAATGTGCCTAATAAGAAATTTTACTAATCCTGCAACAACCAGGCTAACTCCTTTACTAAAGAGATTAGAAATTTCAGTGAAAACGGAAGTCAGAAAGAAAACACATATATTTTTTATTAAAAAAGAGCTTAACATTATTGACACCGTATATCAGACATGGCGAACCTATGGCATGCGTGCCACGAGGTGGCACGTGACATTCCGGTGGCAAGCAAAAAGTTCGTATTAAACTACTTTTGTTCATTAATATTAGGGCTCAAGGGATAGAGTGCTCACCTCCCAATGACGAGACCTGGGCTCGAATCCGATAGATTAGCAGGTTGATACGAATTCTGCTCCCAACCAGCACCGACCAAAGCGCTGATGAAAAATATCCTCAGTAATAGATAGGGAATGGGTTAGAGTTCTTTTGCCGTCAGGTTTATCGTGATAGGTTTTCGCGGTTTTCCCATCCTTGTGACGCGAATGCTGGTTAATTACATCAAAAAGTCCACCACGAATTCTAATTTTTCCCAATACTTGATCCAAGAGTTCCCTTGTCTTCTAGATTGGGTTCAAAATGACAAGGTTACGGAGTTAAACATTTTTCTGTCGTAAACTCAAAATTAGATATGCTGTTATAAAGTGATGACGGTTATAAAATAAAATTACATTCACTGAAGACAGCATTTTAAAAAACGAACGCAATATTAGCGGCTTCCGAAATGGCGGATTCCGAAACAAATACGATTTGGAGAGCCAATATTACATTTTCCAGGGTGGAAGGGTGACCAGTACTTAATTGAAACAAAAACTTCACAGCTATTAATAAAATAAGTGTACAGTAAAATATGTGTAAAAATAATAAATTTATAGAAAAAAGAATTTGCTTAAAAATTATCTAGGGGTCGCGAAAACAAATCAATTAAGTCGAGAAATTAAAAGTAACATAAATGTAACTGAAGAAGAAAAAAAACATGTTTTATTTTACTCCAGAAAAATGCATATATATTAGTGAAATTACAGTAAAGTTTTTATTGCATTGCTGATTGTATTTTGCTTTATTATATAATTAATGGGGTGGTTAAGTTTGTTTTACCATTACATGCGCGGTTCCACCTCAAAAATATTTTTTTTTCTAACAGTTGTTTTGAGCTGCTGGGGGTCACGGTGTATTCGATTCTGTTTTTTTTTTCTTTTTCTTTTTTTCATTTATTTATAAGGGGGTCTCTGAAAAAAACGGTTGAAATTGTTATAATTAACATTCTTAAAAAGTGTCCAGTAAAGATTTTCTAGAAAATTAGTCTGTAAGATTTTCTATTTAAAGAAAAGCTTCCATTAAAAAAAGCTTCTTTTGATAAATTTCTAACGCTACCAATGACAAATAATCCATTAAAAAAAGCTTCTTTTGTTAAATTTCTAACGCTACCAATGACAAACAGTCCATTGAAAAAAGCTTCTTTTGATAAATTTCTAACGCTACCAATGACAAACAATCCATTAAAATGAGCTTCTTTTTAATGCGACCAATGACAAACAATCCATTAAAAAAGCTTCTTTTGATTAATTTCTAACGCTACCAATAACAAACAATCCATTAAAAAAAGCTTCTTTTGATTAATTTCTAGCGCTACCAACGACAAACAATTCATTAAAAAAAGCTTCATTTCATACATTTCTTACGCTATCGATGACATACAATCAAATAAAAAAAATTCTTTAAAATGAATGTTGTAAAATTAAACTTTTAGAGTATTATCTATGAGTATGACTCATCTTGATCTAATATTAACGATTACTTGTAGTTAATGAGCAACTTTAACAGAGGAAATATCTTACGAAAATATTAATTATGGGAAAAACAGAATGTATATATAGATTGCATGACAATTAAAAAAAGAAACTAAATGTGTTAATACAAACATCTAAAAATGTTTCAAAAATAGAGCTTGCGTGTTCTATTTAACAAAACAACAAATTAATTTTAAAAAAATAATAGCAAGAATGAAAACTTAAATCAGCATTTTCCCATTTAACACTGAACACATGTTTAACACGCTAAACTTTCAAGTTTTAAAAAGACTGAAAACTACTTAATGATTTAATACTTCGCGAGAAGACCTTTGTGACCCATTTTAGGAGAACATACACACCAAACTTTGGTTGTAACTCTTTTAAGTAGAAAACCCTTCCTTTTTTTTTAAGGCTTTAAACATAGTTAAAACCCACCAAAGCGTTAATAATAATTCCCCAATGCATCCTTCAATGTTATGACAAATCTTATTTAATTTAGAGCCCTTCATAGACGAGATGCAAGCACATCAATTCCTGGGGCGCCACCGGAAGCGATCAGGAGCGCACCACGCCCTTGTGAAGAGGGGCATCATCGATGAATGCTGCCACGGGAATGCCGGATGTTCGTGGGAAGAATATGCAGAGTACTGTCCGGCTAACTCCAGACTAAGAGCTTGATTAATACATTTGAACTGTAACAACATATGAATAAAAATAAACACGGAAAATATTTTTTCGTTGATTTATTAAGTATATATAACATGTTGCTTTCTCAATGAATAAAGATGGTTTGTAAATGTGGCTGTCTGTTTCTTATGTGAATTGCTTGTTTGCTTTACTATTAGAGAGGATCTGTATCTGATATTTTGTATTTAGTACTTCCTAAAAGTACATTATACTTTAATGAAATCGTGATGAAAGCAATGAAAATTAAATGAGATCATAATGAAATTAGCGAGTACATTCTGTATCAATTTATTTCCAGTTCAACTGTGTGACATTTTTATATGCCCGAGATATCCCGGATGGTATGGCGTTGGGGCCGTGTCTGAGAAATTATGAGTTCGATCTCCACCGGTTGAAAACTCCGCGTGTACAAAATGATGACTAGTGAATCTGTCGGGGCCACAAAGTACTCCAAGTTCCCATCAATACCTACACAGGTATTGATGGGACAAATCAATAACAAATCAATACCTCTGTAGCAACTGGATCGGAGATTGATCATGCTCTGCTTCAGGTCAAAATTTCAATCTGTGGATAGTGTGTGAATGTGCTCTCCCTGTAAAACGGGCTGTGACGTATGTATGTTGTCTCCGGATAATCCTCAGGGATGTTTTTCAGACCGTCAGCAATAGTGCATTGTGCAGCTCTAGTGTGACTTTAATAAAAGCATCGTACCGTGATAGTTACATTCTTATTGAATCAGTAGATTTATAATAAATTTGTAATTTTACTAGCTGAATACCCGTATGGGGTAAAAAAGAAGAAAAAAAATCAATAAATCAGTACTGAACGAAATAATGCACAAAACTGAAAATTATGTACTAACACTGTTTATATAGCTGAACTGATTCTCTTTTTTTAAAGTTATTATTACTTGTTGCACTTCAAGTGGATTTACGTTACTAGAAAAAGCAAAACACGTTTTTAGAGGTTCATCCCATCAAACTAAAGATGAATTGTGATCATTTGGTATAATACTGCTGCTTTATGCCAATTCATGATATAATAGTCAGTACTTATCCTCTTAGTAGTAGTACTTATCTTTTTAGAGGGGACGTAAAAACCTATTTCTTTGGCATCTGCATCTCACTTATACAGTAATATTTAATTTAATTATACAGTAGCAGTAAATATTTAGCAGATTTAATAGGTATCAAATATGCTAATATTTCGTACCTGCATCAGTGCATTTGATACGCATTAAAACTTCCCCAATTACTTTAATGCCAGCAATGACTATTATCCCGAATTTAACCATCATTGGCGACAATAATATCATAATGATTTTTTACTTTTGTCATAAAGGAATTAATACCATATCCCCATTAATTTTGCTTTTTTGTACTTTGCTCTTTTTATTTCAATTAGAACCTATTACCAAAATTATTTACGCATTATTTTATTTTATTCTATAACCTTCGTTGAAGACCCCAGAGATAGTGATTTGTTTTTAAGCATCATTGGCGTCTATAATAGTATGCCATTTTTTACTCATCTCCTAAACAAATTGGTATCATTTCTCGATTAATTTTGATTTTTTGTACATAGCTTATTATTTTTATTTCAATTAGAATCTATTACGAAATTTGTTTAGCTCGCGTGAATAACAGTATAACGATTTTTTATTTTTCCTAAATGAATTAGAATCACTTCTCCATAAAGTATATGTTTTCGTACATAATCCTTTTTTTTTTAAATTCCATTTATTTATATAGAAACACGTTTTAAAAGCATAACTATAAACAAAATAAACGCGCGGTTTCTGACAGCTTAGAAATACTAATTTGATAACGTAGTCTGCTTATGCCATCCCCGTCAAATAGATCATTTAGTCCATCTGACTTAACGAATAAAAAATAATTATGTATATTAAAGAACTTTTTTTTTCAATAAAACGTTCAATAAACTCTTTTTTTTTATCCAATAGAGCTACAAGCAAGCATATTCAATAAAAATAAATAAATTAAATTAAACACGTCTCTCTCTCTCTCTCTCTCTCTCTCTCTTTTTTTTTTTTTTTTTAAGTAAATCAAAATTTTTACAACACTTTTACATTTAAATGAAACTTAAAAACCTTTTACAGAAAACCTATAAATACTAAAAAGTTATAAATAGGCTGAATATTCGGTGAGATATCAAATATTAAAGAAGTTTAATTTAATATGCACAAATATGTTTTACACTATCTATAGTAGGGGGAGTAAAGAGAATTCAGGTAGGTGGATGATACCGAAAACTGGGATTTTTTTATTCACTGCTGATATTCACTAGAAATCACGTTCCAAAACTAACTACTACTAATCTAGACTACTACTAAACTAGTTCCTGAAAGTCACCATGTTATTTGGAGATTAAGATTGTTTGTCAAAATAAGAATCTTGAAAAGTTCGATTAAGTTTTGACTGATATTTTTACTTGAATACTGATATTTTTACTTATTGCTTGAATATTTGTTTTATGAGCATTTAACTACCAGGGGTCTGTCCAAGCCAAATTTACTATCGCTTAACGGTACTTCATTCAACTTTATATAGTATTCATTCAACTTTAGGAAAAACGGTAGAATGATTTCGCAAAATACTTTTTCTTAAAATTTTATTTTTGTGTCTCGTAAGAAACGATAAATCCATATTTTTACCACATTTTTGTGTTGACTTTTTAATATAATTTTTAATTTTCACAAATTATGTCTAAATTTTCACAAAATAGGTACCTCTCAGAAAAACCAAGACAGACACCTGACTACATATATTGCCTCTTTTATCTATTATTTTAAACTATTAATTCAGGTTCTATCATGTAGCAATCCGTAACAGTAATTGCTAAAAATAACCACATAAATTTATTTTGAAATTGACGCAGAATCGGGCTCATGAATGAATAATGATCACTGAAAAATGCACAATACCAAATATCTGTGACGTATTAATTTCGTACTTAAAAAATGGAAAGACGCGTTCCATACGATCTTATTTTAGCAAAATAATACGAAAAAGAAAAAATTTTATCCACAGCAATTGCGAAATTTTTGTGCAAAACTCGTGATTTCTGTTTTTTTTTTTTNTTTTTTTTTTTTTTTTTTTTTTTTTTTTTTTTTTTTTTTTTTTTTTTTTTTTTTTTTTTTTTTTCTAGCGCATTTGGAAGTTTTGAAACTTTTACATCACAATTTATAAATTTCTTTAAAAGAGCTGTGGTGGCACAAGGGGTAAAGCGTTCGCCTTCGAATGAGGTAAACCGGCTTCGAATCCTAGCAATGACTGGTCGATTAAAATCCCTCACACGGCTCGCACCGACCTCAGTGCTGACATAAAATATCCTCAGTGGTAGACGGATTAGAGGTTAAAGCAATACCTCGTAGAAGATAGAAGTCGCGGGTTACCATAAACAAGAAATTTGATCCTTTAGTAGCCCAAACGTAGTGACCTCATTCTTATTTTTCTTCCACTGCCCAAATTATTTTCGTTACGTCGGACTACTAAACTGATCCGTGCTGAGGCCTTCTCCTTTATAGGAGATGTTGGTTAGAGCTCCCTTGCTGTCAGACTATCCTTGGAAGGTTTTCGTGGTTTTCCTCCACAATTAACTCAAATGCGGGTTAGTTCCATCAAAAAGTCTTCCACGAAGGTAAATTTCTCCCAATATTTGATCTAGGAATTCGCTTGTCTTCTAGATGGAGTTAAAAATTACGAGGCTATTGAGTTGAACGTTAGTAGTCGTAAACCCATAAAATTGTGTCGGCTGTTCCACGACGGTTATAAAATTTGCTTTAAAAAAACAGCTATATTGAACTTTATTTTGCGTAACCACAAGCAATGGCCGCTTCATAACAAATCGCCTCATTTCACTTCACCCTCTCTTGTCACATCTTTATTACATAAATTAGTAGTTCAGATACGAAACTGCGTCATCATATATTATTTCAAAATCTATTCTTAAACTTTATGTGCAATATTGATATTTTTCAGCATAACAACAGTAATGGTTAGGCGTGTACTTATTTTGGAGAAAAATATGAAATGTATATATATTTTCATATTTTTCTCCAAATACTTTCATTATGTAGAAGCATTAAAGTTTTTCAATTATATAAAAGCATTCAATCTGCTCATTTTAAATCTTTTAATTTTAACCAAAATATGGAACGTCACAGCTCTTGTTACTTCTCCCTCCCCTTCTCAAAAACTGCCACAATTTTAAACACATCACCTTCTCGTAGAGAGAAGGCCTCAGCACCGGTTACCATAAACAAGAAATATGATTCTTTTATAGTCTAAACAGACGCCCGGTGGCTGAGAGGTAGCTTTTCGTGCTGTAGTGCCACAGGTCCCTGATTCGATCCTTGGGTTGGGCAAGGTTGACTCAGCCCTTCATCCCTTCAGTGGGTCGATAAAATGAGTACCAAGCATGCTTGGGTGCTAAACACTGGGAGCTCCGCGTTGGGCTGACCACTCAACCGGAACATCTGCTCTTGCACCTCAGAGCACAAAGGTCAAGAAAACTGAGAAGGTCACAGTAGCCCCCTATGGTCTGTCGCGCCACTGAGTTTAGTTTTTAGTCTAAACGTAATCAGGGACTGGTCAAGACAAATTCAGGCCCAAGGCCCACCAAATTTTCCGGGCCCCTTATGAAATATTTTGAAATTAAGTTTCTGAAGAGTAGTCCTAACAATAAAAAGGTATCTATTTAAGAGAGAGACATTCTAAAAAATTTTGAAAGCAAACAATTGAAGATCATTTTTCTAAGATAAAGTTTTCGCATCTATATATTAAAGCAAAATATAAAACAACAAAGCAATGTTTTGTCAAAATAAAAATAGTTTGGTTGACCACAAACAATTGAAAATCAGTGATTTTTGCTAAAAGTCACTGATTAGTAGAGTTATTTTTCACTGTAAGCTGTAATTATTTTTTTATTTAGTACTTAAACCAACACAAAGCTAGCCGACTTTTCATTAGCTTTAACGATAAGTTCAGCATGTATGCTAAGATATTATTAATTATAATTTTTATTAAAAAAATACACACACAAACAATATCCAAAAGGAGCCAAAATTATAGCTACTCATAGAAAACTAA